ACATCAGTGTGCGACCTCACAAATGCGCTTCTGGAAGAATGGTCAAAAATTCCCATAAACACACTCCTAAACCTTGTGGACAGCCTTCCCAGAAGAGTTGAAGCTGTTCTAGCTGCAAAGGGTGGACCGACGTCATATTGAACCCTATGGATTAGGAACGGGATGTCACTTAAGCTCATATGTGAGTCAAGGCAGGTGAGCAAATACTTTTGGCAATATAGTGTATGTTGTTCACTTTTCAATGTCAGTGCTGCGTTCACACTTGCGATAGCATGAGACAGATTCTGCATCCCACATAAGTGGTCCAGGTAGTGCAGCTCATCCAGGATTGCAGAACTTCAATGAGAGCTGTGGCAAGAAGGTTTGCTATGTCTCCAAGCGTAGTGTCAAGAGGCTGGAGGCACTACCAGGAGACAGGGCAGTACACCAGGAGATGTGGGGTGGGCAACAAGCCAAAAGGCAGGAGTGTTCCCTCCACCTTTTTGCAAAGAGGAATGTGCTCACAGCTGTGCTCACAGACCAACACCGTGCAGAATGCTTGGCGATGCCAGAGAACACCAGAGTTAGCAAATTCGCCTCTGGTGCCCTGTGCTCTTCACAGATGAAAACAGGTTTACATGAGCAAATGTGACAGAGTCTGGAGACACCTTGGTGAGTGATCTGCTGAGCACATCTGGGATATCATATCTCGATGTATCCGTCAACATCCTGTTGCACCACATACTGTCCAGGAATTGGCAGATACTATAGTCCAGGTCTGCGAGGAGATGCCTCATGAGACTACCCGCCACCTCATCAAGGGTAGGGGTGATTATTGGCATGTGTGTTGAGATAAGTCGCAATTGGGTCACAATACAATATTATCATGAAATTGCAATATCACTATATATTGTGAAATTTTACCTGGCTATCAAAATGTAATTTATAGATTAAAAAAGCAAGTGCTGTATATGTTCATCAGAATACATGTCAGTCCACATCAATGCATTGCATTGAATGAATTGACTGCCTCCATGCAATGCATGGTAAGCACGTATTACTCTTCACCTACTAAGGGTTTCTTTATTATTTATCTTTTTTCCGCCACCGTTAATGCAGCCTGAACCACAGGGTGTAACCCCATGCAGTATATATGAAAACATGCGTCTCCCATGAAGTGTGCTATTTGTACTATACGAGGTTTGGAGTTACCATGGTGATGTTAATAGCCCAAAACAACCCCAAAATGTCCCATAGGAATGAATGGGGAGAGGGGAGAAAGAAGACATAAAAATCCACTTTTTTGAGGCTTTGCTGTGTGGTCATACATTCACCTAGAAACACAGTTTAAAGCTATGTTTGTAGATAAATCCTTTATCTTTCATAAACTGAAAACAGTATGTTGATAACTATGTTTTTTCTGAAATCAGCCATCAAGCACAGTAAAGTTTGTCCTCATCTTTTGGTAGATACAGTATAGTCCAGTTGCATAATTCAGCATATCACAAAGGTAAAATAATTTCACACTGCTTTCTTGAACTTAAAAAGGAGAGCACAGTAACACATTTCTCCACAATCACTGGATCTAAAATAACATAGCATCTTCAAAGTATGGTTAAATTAACTATTGTTAACCACCTATTCTAACCAGCTAAAGCAAAACAGCATTTGGTTATGGTCTATTACAGATAACGAGCCATCCAAAAGAAAATAGGCAGTGGTTGGTGAAAACAAGCTACCTCAAACGCAGTTATGTCTTGTTTGCGGGGTTTCACGAACCCAGGGAGAAAACCAACAGGTGTCAAGAGCTGAGAGTCATCACGAACTTCCAATAATGATCTTTTTGCTTTTCTAAAAAAATATGTTTTCAGGAAATCAGCACTTAGCAATAGATTGGGATATACCAACACAATCCACAAATGTTTTTTGCTGTTGTTGTTGTTGTTGTTTTTAAAGGTATGAATTTATAAAAACTGTTATTCTCTGCTATCACTAAAATGTATTTTTAGGATTTTCTTGACTTGATTAATTCATGATCAATTTGATAACTTCTAATGTGACCCTGGGTTTTAGTAAAATATATTAAACTTAAATACACAGTTGTTTAAATATTTCTAGATTCATTAATAGATCATCTAATCCGACCTTGATCAAGTACTAAAACCTCCACCAAGCCTCACTCCATGATAAATCCTGTCTCTGTGTTTTGTAGTCTTGTACCCAAAGTAAATTTACATGGATTTTGTTTTTTTTCACTATCTACCCACTCATGTATTTGGAGTCTACAGAATAATTCACTGCCCCTCACCACCCCCCAACCCCATACCCTCACTTTGGTTACAACAAAAAGCAAAGCAACAAGGTGGGAGTGTGCCCGCTAACCCAGCCGCTACTTTCTCACAGGCCGAGTGTCTGCCTGTATAGTTATGTGTCACTCCAGTGCCATAGCTGACCCACAAGAGCAAAGAGGACAAACTTGCTGCTGAAGAGCGGGGACCCCTGTCACCTCATCTGGCCTTTCTGTTTGTTCACAACAAGGGCTCCATTTTCTCTTTCCCATCCCTTCCCCTCATGCTCTGGTTTCTCTTCTCTCTTCCTCTATCAAAAATTGTCCCAGCTGTCCATCAGCCCCCCTGCGGTTACCCCAGCTGTCTGCTCTCTCCGAACAAGAATCCTAACAACAATAGAGGTCACAGGTCAAGAGAAAGAACAGGCTGCATCCACAATAGACCAGTGGCGCCCGCTAAAGCAATCGTTCCCCTTTCTTTCAAAGTATCTTGGTACTTTTGCCAGTACTGGAAAAGACAAACATTCTGGAGAGGTAGATGAAGAGGCAGAAAGTCCTTTAGGACAACAGCTTCCGAAGACCTTCCCCTTCATACAATTGCCAATCAACCTAAAAGGATAAACATGCATTTACACACCAACTCTTACTCTTGCCAGTTAAGTTTTGCACTTTTGCTCCCTATTCAGTGATTGTTTGAAGCATCATTGTGCCATTTAGGATGTCAGTTAAAGTCAAAGCTAATCTTGTGTTCGTAAGTTCGGTGATATAATAAATTGGGCTAATTACAATCTTTGAATAAAGTACTGCATTCCTTCATTTTGATAAAAGAATAGGATACACTCTCACCAGTTTGACTTCAAAATGTTCTGTGTCTAATTTATTCCCAGACTTGGGCAAATGCACACAGATATTTTTTTATGATCCCTTCCCCCACAGTGTTTTGGCATGAGTCTGATGGGAAAATGGGGCACATGTGAGGGGAAAGTAAATGATAGAATCCTGGAAAAACCCCTTGTGACATGTTCACCTGTTCCCGGGAGCTGTTTTTCCCATGATCCACAACAACAGCCTCCCATCTGACCTGAGAGAAAGCCTGGAGCTCAGTCACTGAGTGACATCACATGAACGGGCCAACAGATGCTCACATCCTCCAACAGTTCTCTATAGATCAGGAGAAAGCACACTCCCCATTTCAGCTGAGACCTATGTCTATTTTTGTGTTTGCATGGCAATTAGAAATATATTATTCATTATTTGTTGTGCAGGATTAAATTTTCTTATTACTTCTTCTTGCTGAGAATCATCTAAGATGATTTATAGTCAACAACTTCTTTCATGATGGTAAGAATTTTGCATGTCTAGCTATTAAAAAAAAAAATTCAAAAGCAGGTGCACCTGTAGGTGTAATTAGTGATTTTCCTTAGAAATATTTCTACATTAAAAGTTTTCACATTTTAAAATTCACAAGCACAAACTTTAACTCAGTTTCTATATTTGCTCTGTTCTACAAACCGTCACGCAATTTATACTTGGGAAGCAGTAAAACATTGTGGTTTTAAAAATAATCTGTGTAAATTAGGGTCTGGAATGTATGCGCATATTTATTTAGGCCTCTTTACTCTGACATCCCTTAATTAAAACCTGCTAAAACCTCAGACAGAAGAAAAATCTCTGGTAAAGTTGTGAGGTAGCTTAAAGCAAGGCTACATTAGGTAATAAAACATCTCAAATACTTAAGTTTCACAGAATAATAAAGAAACAAAAGCTGTATTTTCATTACTGCAGATCTACCTGCTAAAAGCAATTATTGTAAAAAGAGTAAAAGAAAATATTACAAGAACTTATTCAGGATAAAGCAAACATGAAATAAGATGCTCTGGTTAAGTAAGATAGTGGGAAGAAAACTCAGTTTTAAAAAAGATTGATCAGAATGCTAACGCTGGACATTACCTTGAAAAAATCACTACCACTGTGTAACACGGTGATAGCAGAATCATGGTATGTAGATGATCTGGCACAGACGGGGAAGCTGCTCAGAACTGATGGCCAAAAGATGGAATTAAATATAGATTATTTTAAAAGATTTACAATGGCCCTATCAATGTCTAAATCAAAGCCATGTTCAGTTCCATACCATGATTTTATTGTTGATGTTCACAGATATCTTTCAGTCTTTTTGTTCTTCAGCTGTTTTCACACTAAGGAACAGCAGAAAGTTTTGTCTCCGAATGATTGAAGCTAACAGAAAATTAACCCACAAGGCCTAAAGCTATAGCTGCAGCAAAACATCCTCCTTCGGCAGTGTTGATTCAGTGAAATAGGATACAAAGGCATTTTACACCTCTTAGAATTGTAATTTGTAATTGTAATTAGAATTTTATAAAAACAATGAAAACATAGTTTAACATGTTTTTGTTGTAACAGTCATGAACTCCTTCACGTCTACTTAGTCTATCAAATAACATTTTTAAAAGTGGTTTAGGATTTTTACTGTAACATCAGAGACTCAATGTGGTGTACAAATAATTTGCAAGGGTATGTTTTCTTAAGAACCTGCTAAATAGGGTCTAAAGGTAAACACATTTCTAAAACCTATTTGTTTGACATTTTCAGTGTGAAAATGATAAAATTCTGCTACTGTTGAAAACTCACTGTAACAGAAACTGATGTTTCTGGAAAAAAGCATTTTTGGACAATTATAGGCATCAAAAATTCATATCACACAGTGTTACTATGGAATTAGCATATAATATAAGAATATTTATTTCAGTAAGTGCGAAACAGCAAAATATTAACATCACATATGACAGAAATGGCAACATAAAAATGGTTAAGTACCTGAAAGAACTTAAATTAAATATCTTAAGCACAGTACAGCTACCAGTGGATGGCAACAAACCATGAAGACAGTGACACATAAACTGTGCAGAGAGAAATATAAAAAAAGGACAAGATGCTATCAAAATAAATAATAAATACATATAAATAGTTGTTTTCTTAAAACTCAAGACTGTAGTTTTTAGTGCATGAATTTAACTGGATAAATATTGGATCAATTTGTTCTCAGAGGTCTTGAGTTCAAACTTAAGCTCTAATTGTACTTTACTATTGCCTGAGTAAAGTTTTGGCCAGTTTTACTCTTTCCTAACTACAGAGTTAACATTCAGAAATTAGAATTTAAGCATCAATCAGACAAAAGAATAAATAAAAGGAAAAAATATGGGTGCATGTTTGCATCAGGTAGATTGAGTTGAAATGAAAAGTCTTTCCCTCTCAGCTTAGATTGGCAGCTCCACTTCTGTGGTCAGTTTCTGACCAGTCACTTCCTGGTTTTATTTGATCCTAGATCGTTCCCATCTGAGAGGTGACCAAGTGAGAGGGAGTGAAAGACTCAAAGGCCAAATCCAGGGGCAGCTCATAACGTGAAGCCTGAAAGTTTGGGTGAGCTTGGACTCCCCCTGATAGACTGCCAGCTGTGGTAGTGGGGAAATGGTGAGCTGAGAGGTAGTGGGCATGGTGACCAGGGTGGGATGTGTAGTTCCTTTCTGATTCCTGTGGAGATGGCTCCTGCTTCAAGGCAAAGTTACTACTGATGCTGAGGGGGGGAGTGAGAGGCCCGTCGTATGGAGGGGTGCTACTGCTGCACTCGTTAGGGGAGGGGTTGTCATATACAGGCACTTTGAACCCCTTCATTTGAAGAAGGTGGGATGCTTCAAGGGAGCCATATGGTGGGCTGGGAAGTCCTGGGGATGGGTAGCTGAGTGGATGTCCAGCCACTCGGTCACCTACTACTTGACTTCCACATTTGTCCTCAAGCTTGCTCATATTAAGAGGGGTGGGCCAAAGCTGCAGGCAGCCAGCTACGAGGTTACTTGTGGGCTGAGACAGACCTTTGCACAACATCTCCACAAACCCATGGCTCTCTGTGGACTGACCATTCTCGAGCACCTCAGAAAGAGCCCAGATGTAGTTGCGTGCTAGCCGCAGAGTCTCAATCTTTGATAGTTTCTGAGTTTTGGAGTAGCAGGGCATCACTCTGCGCAGGTTATCCAAAGCGTTGTTGAGCCCATGCATTCGAGAGCGCTCCCTTGCATTGGCTTTGATCCTTCGGGCACGAAACCTCTCCTGCCTAGCTTTGGTCATCTTCTTCTTCTTGGGACCTCTCCTTTTGGGGCAATTTTCTCCATTAAGCCCCATCTCCTCTTCATCATCCTCCTCCTCTTCTTCCTCCATATCCTCACTGCCCAGTTCTCCGCAGGAGTGAATCTGACCTCCCAGAGCCAGGCCGTGGTGATGACTCTTCATCTCTGGACTTTCATCTCCATCCTGGGAGCTGCCATCCTCCTCAAGCCAGCTGAGGGAGCTGACCAGCTCACTCACATTCCCACTTTTCCCAAAGTGTTTATTCATCATCCTTATCTGAAAAAGTAGAGAGAATAGGTTACTACCTGTGCAGCTGTTTGATATATGTAAATGTAAAAACTCTTAACAAATTTGCATAAGGTTAATGTGTATAATATGTCGCATATAGGTGCTCTGCAGTATACGGTGAAGAATGAAAAGGCTTTAGATGTTAATATGTTTAAATGTTTCAGTTGCAATATTTATCTTGGTGTTATTTTTGTAGTGTGACATCTATATAAAAAATAACAAAAAAGTTTTGGTAGCCCCCCTTAGACCCCAGTCACTATCAGTGGCCCTCTTCTGGCCAACACATTCTGGGGCTGCGTGTATTTTCAGCACCGCTGTGTGGACAGCTCACAGTGTTCAATAATGGACTTTGCTTTTGTCATTTGCATTTAAAAAAATCATTCTACTGTTAAAATGCTACATGTCATTCAGTATATTTGAATATATATATAGGTCTACCGGTATATTGCTTTTTTTGTTTTGTTTTTTATTTGTTATTCCCACTGCTTTGCTCTCTCCAGAGACGCAATCAAACTGGGACACAACGGGATTTACTTAGAGCTCAAAGATTAAATTGGGAGCATACAACTCAACAAAAAATGCAGATACTCAGGCTTTATAATAAGGCAAACAACATATATTCTCTTCGATTGTAGGTTTACACGTGTTATCATTAAAAGAAAAAAAACTTTCACACTAAACTGTTCATGCTCATTAAATATTTATATTTAGATTGAGGCCTTGTTATTAATTCGGGCATAAAGATTAAGGACAGAAAATGTTGTTTTTGCAGCAAACTGCCCTAATTACTGCGCATTAATGCCCGAAACTGGGGCAGATTACCCTCCCGTTTGTGACTTTGTCCCGACTCTGTCGGAAAGAAATGTTGGTTTTGTTAAACGACAGGATTTTTAACCAAGGGCGTAGGTTTGATTTGAACTTTGGTAGGGACACTATTGGTCTGGTGTCATTGGTGCTATGCAATATGCATGCCCTTTTTTATGCTCGATGTGAGCATCCGTACTGATAAGAGGAATTCATTGTTAAAAGAGAAAAGCAACATTTTGCTCCATTAATAAAAATGTTATAAGCTCTACACTCATTAGATGCTGTTTATCAATGTTTGAAGTATCACCGGCTCTGATGAATGTGGAATTAGGACTGTTTTCCACTTTGAAAATGGTTTCATTTGAACGACTAAGAGAGAAGGTAAATACAGTATTTTCTTTTGAAGATATAGAATTGTGCAGAGTTAAACCCCACTCTAATATTTGTACCTACTATTCTCTCTCTGTATCAAGCAAAATAATACATTCATTAAAATATTAACTTCACTATAAAAATTGAACATCTGGGCTGTAGTTACTCTGTGTAGCACATTTCATGTATTTCATCTGGGGCTGAAAAAAATGAATCGTATTAATTGATTATTTCAATTATCATCAACTAATTTAGTAAGTGATTGATCATTAACTGGAGAATAGAGACTTTAAAACATACATTAATATAAATGTAAAATGTGCCTTTCCCCACAGAGCAACCCACTTAGATCAGTTATTATATCAAAATTGTAAAAATAAAAACAAAAAAACAAAAAAATGAAAACAGTAATATCAACTAAATATCGGTAAAAAGGAAACCCTCACATTTTCTTTTTTAGTTGGCTGTGGCTAAGAATCAGAAATGTTGATGGCTTACAGCCTTTATTTGCCCATTTTTCCAGCAGTCTTCAGAACTCCTGGCTGACTCAGAATATTTCGTTTTATAAAAGAAAAAAAAAAGGTTTTTGTTTTTTAGTGTACATGATATTCATTTTTTTTTTTTATTGGGACTAGTTTTGTAGCCTAATATTAATTGTAGTAACCGCTGCATTCTAGTGTGAATACATTTTCTATTTTGTGCTCCACGCACACGCGGACTAGAAAACAGCCAATCAGAGAGAGAGAAGGCGGAACTTAAGGCAGAACAACCAATGAGAGTGGAGTTAAACAGCGCAGCACAGTTCCAAGCGCTGCTAATTGAAAAGGACAGGAGAGACCAGGCAGAGGAGCAGCGAGAGGAAAAGAAGCATCTGCTGCTATAACTACAGCTGTAAATTATAAACATGTTGCTCACATCCAATTATTGGTAGGGACAATTAGGTCGGTTCAAAATTTTGGTAGGGACATGTCCCTATGGTCCCTATGCAAACCTACGCCCATGTTTTTAACTATACCTTTCTGCAAACTAAATTGATATTTTGTCTTGTAATGCGGGGTATTTGATATGAATTAAGGTTATAAAATGTAAATTGAATCTTCCATTTTATTCTTTTTGGCTTTTAAGTTGATTTTTAAATACAATACATTTATAAATATTTATCTCGCGGATCAAATTTGGCAAATAGAAAGAAAAATCAATATCTATTATTTAAACCTTATGCTTTATAACCTTAAACAAATGTCACTCACCTGTTTGGATGTAGCAATGAAGAAATAAGCAAGAATCTTTCAGAAATTCGGGTAATAAATCCAGAGTAGTTGTGGATTTTTTTTCTCCACGCTCATCCGCCAGTGTCCCAAAGTCAAACAGCTATGAACATGCTTGTAACTTTCAACTCAAAATGACACGTTGAGGCTGATGTATTTTGGCTTTAGCTGAGTTCGCCCCACCCTCTTCTGTCCCACCCACCAACAATCTCATCCCAGAAGCGCGTGGCGCTCTCGTGACTGGGTGTTTGGAGAACAAGGAGGGGCGCGCTCCTGGACGCATTTGTAGCCCTTTATTTATAAATCAAGGGGTCCCAAAACAGTCAGGGGGTGACAGTTTCTAGAATAACAAATTAATCCGATGGCGTATTTTGCAAAGATTGTCTTTGACGCGCCTTTCAGGTTAGAAATAGATTTTGATTGATGCATGTCTAATACAAGCTTTAATTGATAGAAGTTTAGAATCCACCACCTGACACAAATACAACACATAATATGTCAGCAGAATGGCAGTGTGTTTCCTCACTCAAAATGTTTTCCTGTGCATCTACAGATATCTTCTTAAAGTGTTTCTTGCTTGCTTTCCTTCGTTCTAAAATACATTTCTTTATTATTTTTTATTATTATTTATTAGAGAATTAAATAAAGTACTTGTTTTTTCTTAAACAGTTTTGTGCTAAATAAACTGAGCTAAACTAATTCCTGTCGAGAACAAAATAACTGTGGCATATCTCCACATTTCTGCAGTTTTACACACATGTGTAAAATAAACCTGTCCATCTGCAAATCTTGCTAATTATACCACATGCACTTATCAACTTTTTATTTTTTAACATAGGTGACTTTAATTCGAGCTAATTGCTTAACTTCATAATTTCCTCATTATTTACCAATTCAGTAGGGATAGGTCTCTATGTTGAATTGTGTTGGATTCTCAAAAGATTTTTTTATTCAGAATATGAACAACTGCTCAGCTTTTCGGTTTTGTTATACTGTGATTAAACTGCGTCATCCTAATTGACTGTTCGTCTTGTCATTAGTCGGTTGGATTAGGAATTTTCCACTTTGTTAAACTCACTGTTGTGAGACGCTCCTTCTTCTCTGCACATTTAAGTGATTATGACAGCTTGGTGCGTGATGAGCAGGTGTGTGTGTATTTCAATTGTTTTCTTCCATTGTTGGCGTCACATTCTGCCCTGGAGGACAATCAGATTATTGAATCAATTAACTTAATAATAGAGATGCAGGTACTTCATAAAGGCTGCAGATCCCATCGAATTTTGGGGATACTATAATAAACTGATACTAATCTTTGCCTGGAATATACAGATTCTAAAAAAATCTTTTCTGAAGAAGGAAAAAAAAGACAGCAGTAGTTAAACAAAAAGCTGTTCAGAAAGTTAGGGATGGACAGAGAGACAGACAGATGGTACAGTGACAATTGCTTCAAGTTCAACATGAAAAAGTTTTTTTTTTTTTTGCTTATATGATTGACTTTATCAAGTTTAGGACCATGCTCTTCTCAGGCTTTAGCATCTAAAAGTAAAGGAGCGGGTCACAAACTCTAAGTTGAGTTGGATCTGAACACCATCTGCATAATTAAAAAAGCCCAGCCACTTTTTCTCTGTCTGAGAAACAGGAGGAGGAACAAACTCCCTCCAACTCTGCAGAAATACTTAAACCACTGCACAACAGAGATCAGTCTGATACACTTTGATGTGCCAGCTTCACTGCATCAAAGAAGAAACATCTGCATCATTCGTCGCATACTCCCCCACTTAGAGGAGATCTACCTGAGCCTTCTCTTCTAGAATGGGCCATGGACATCCGGAACAACCCAGGCCATTCAGATCACTGTTAGTATCATGCTTTCCTCTGGTTAAGCAGACTTAAACAATTGTTTTTTGTTTGTTTTTTTCCACAAGGCTGTCCAGTAGACCACTGCACAATATTTTGGACTAATATTAAAATACTATTTATTACATATATCTTAACTATATCAAACTAAAATCAATACTGCAAAATTACATTTTGCTACTAGTTAACAAATCATCTTTGCCTTCGTCTTTTTCATTTTTTCTGCCTTCTCTTGAGAACATGGACATTATTAACTTTAAATATTTATAGGAAGAGGGTTCTCAGACCACAGATGGATGTCCTGTCATATTTAGAAGATTTTCTGTATGAGCGCTACCATTTTACCCAAAAGTCCATCATATACATACACAACTGCATCTGTCCTCACACTTGCAGATCTCTATATTTCTATTATTACTGGTCATAATTTGCATTATTTTTATCAGAAAGAAATGTATTTCAGATTTCATAAATACATTTCCAGTCGATATGATAGATGTCGAAATAGCCACTTAAAATGTGTAAAGTTTTCTAGTTTTTTCTTTTTGAATTCTAACTTTTATATTTTAGTGCTATACAAATAGAACAACAGAGAGGAGAGGGCTTTTAATAAATGTTAATATGGCCTGTTATAATGGACTTCATATAAACCTAGTATTAACTCGAGCAGCAATCTTCTCCAACGCTATCTCTCTCTCCTTTGCAGCTATAACGCTGATGTCTGTCTTTGAAACACATTCTCCTACAGTATTTCTTTTTTTATTTCTGCATTAAAATCTCTAGGTCCAGTGGTGTGAAATAGGTACTTCCTGTTGCCTGTATTCATGGGGACTTGTCGAATCAGTGTTCCACTGATAATGGCTTTTCATACATGTTACGCACTTGTTCAACTCTGTGTGAACCTACTGAGAGTCGATTAAACAAACTCATGGAAGCCTTTGTAAAACCGAAAACTCATTTTGCATCCTTAGTCTACAATTCAGAGTTAAGGATTTGAGTCTGAGTTTGTTAAACCTGCTTTGTGAAAGGGCCTCTGAATTAATTTGAAGTGATGTTTGTATGTATCCAACATATTCTTGATTTCTGTTCTGTTTATTCAAATATCATATGTGATATTATATAAGTATATAAGTATTCCCAAAATGAAAGCAGAACCAGAATAGATGGGAACACAGTTTTCTAAGAGGTGACAACTCTTTTCCTCAATATTTATCGAAATATTAATTTCAATTAAAACTTAACTTAAATGTCAGATATAAATACATAAGCACAAATTATTATCCTAAAGGTTCTGGTGCAAAAATTGACCAAAGGAATTATAACAGATCCCTGCCAGCATATGGCATCTATATGGAGAGGAAATGGGCTGAAAAATGGGCCCCAATGGGATGGTCCACTGGTTACATAATACCACCATTTAAATTGCCAACCCTGACCCATATTGTCAGTTTTGTTGTGCAATTCAGACATTTTTTCTTGGAACCCCCATTACCCAGCCAAAACCTGCATTGGGGAACCTAAGTTGACTTTCTGACATTGGTTGTATTTAGAAAATGCAATGCAAACACCAGATTGTCAGTGTCCATGGAGTGTAAACAAAATTCATATTTGGCCCTCACACGAAGGCTGGGATGTGGATACAGCTCACTTCTATCAGTACTTTTATTTAGTCATGTTTAAATTACCTGGTTTTACATAGTTTTATGTTTATACTGAGTTTGATAGTTGTATCTTAATTAGTTTTACATCATTCTTTTTTTTTTGTCAAGCTTAAAAAAAGACAAAATCCAAACAAACACTTATAAAAAATGAGCAAAACAAAAGCACAAACAAAGCCTTTGCACAGTTCGGACCACAAATGCCGGAGATAATAAAAGCCCGCCAGTCTCGTGCGTGGCGACCCGCCGCGCAGTAGGAGGCCATTGTCATATCTGGCCACTGACAACCGGAGTCTCGCGAGCTGCACGTGCTCCCCCCACCCCACCCCACAACCTCAGGCCCCCATTGATCCCATTGTGCGCGCGACTGCGCACAGCTGCGCTCAGGACTGAACTTCAGAGGAGGAAAAACTTGTTTTTGAGCGTCCAAAAAGTTTTCACGGATACCTAAAATATGGTTAGGTGACTTAATGACATCAAAACATTGATTAAACAGGCTCTAGCAGATGGTAGAATGCAGAGAGCGCGCATCTTAGCATCATTTCTGCCTAGATGCGCTGGCGTCACCCGCCTCTGATTAAAGCTGGTGCTGATACAGGATTTATCCACCCAACGGTCTCTGGACAGAGCACTGGTCATGGAGGCACGTGGATTGACAGAGAGAGGAGCGTATTAGGGAGTGTAGTTCCAACTAATAATCTGAGCTCTGGGGTCCCCAGTTTATATGAGCGTCAGAACTGCCTCCACGCACCTGCAGCCTGCATGTGGAATCAGTGCCTCCCCACATTCCCCACCGGTTTCCCAAATAATTAAGTGATGAAAAAGGGAAAGCAGCCTGCTCTAAATTTAGTGGGTAACACAGATAACCAGAAGAGATGAATATGACGAGTCAAACAGGCTTGTATGAGTTTTGCCATACCTAAGGATTTATACATTTCTGGCCAGAATAAAAAGTAGATAAGAATCCACATGATTTTATTGTTTGTCATTTTCTGTGAAGGTTTGCACGATGAAACAAGTTTTTCAAACGCAATTTACTGATATAGTTGCTCCTTATAGGAATAAACATTATCCTTGACAAAGAAAAAAACTGCCACAAGTGAGTTGTGTCGCACTCGTGTCCCCGGGGACTAAGAGCGGATTGGGAGGGATTCATGCACTATGCTGACAGATGGGTCCTTGTTTCTGTCCCTTTTCTTCATCTCTGTCTCCCCCTGTCTCTTTTGCCAAAGCACAGACACACTCACATCAAGACAACACAATAGGAATTAAAGCTCTGGTCTGCACACATGCACTTTGGCCTGCTCCTGAAAGCTGAGCCCCCTGCAATGATCATAAAAGGACCCTGGATTTGTGTGAGGAGTTGGCGTGCTAAGACATTGGGGGGGTGCATGGGCGAGGCTGCAGTGATAAAATTGTATCATTGCCAAATAAATGTTCTCTTTGTAAACCAGATGTTTTTGTCACATAATCTGAACACATGGTTTTCAAGTTATTTTATTACTTTACTTACATGTTAGTATGTGAGGAACAAAAGTCAGAGGCTGAAAGGTCTGATGACTTGTGCATGCGCATTTTCACACAGCAAACTAATACTTGTAATATTTTATTCTTAAATTAAAATTTTGAT